TAAAAGATGAGTAAGACAGTGTTTTTTTATTTATAGGAGAACTCTAGCCTTTTTACTTCACCTTCCTGTTCCTGCACTCGAGTTGAATAGCACATTCACACGTGGCTTGAGGGGCGGTCTCAAATAACTGCAGCCCATTTGAAGTGTGAAAAACGGTGGAAGCCAACTTCAAATATTTCTTGACAAAGCAAGTGCATTTCTCAGACGGCCAAAGGAAGTCAGCCAAACAGTTCATAGTGTCAACTGTACACATTAAACTTTTGTCCATTAAAGAGATGAGTACTGTAAATACCTATTCTAGCAACTTTATACTATTCTATCACCTACTGTAGCAACAAAGGTTAAATGACATTTGCCCACTCTGTTTTGTAAGACCCTTAAAAGGAGTTCACTCTAAAATGAAAATTTACTCAGTTTTAGACCATCCAAGATATACATGAGTTTCTTCATCAGATCATATTTGGAGAAATGTAGCATTACATTACTTGCTCACCAGTGGATGCTCTGCAGTGAATGGGTGCCGTCAGAATGAGAGTCCAAACAGCTGATAAAAACATCACAATAATCCACAAGCAATCCACACAGTTAATGTCTTGTGAAGCTAAAAGCTGTGAAAACAAATCCATCATTATTTATAACTTCAAACAGTTGCTTACCACTAAAATATGTCCTCTATCTATAATATTGCTTTCTCCAGTGAAAAAGTAATGTTCTCTGTATCAGGAGAAAAATATGCACAGATCAAGCACCGTTTACAAGAGAAAACAGTAGGGCTGGACCAGAATATTCGATTATTCATTCGGTGGGTTGGCATTCGAGTTTCAATTTTGAGATTCCAATATTCTTCTTTTTTTTTTCCGAACACCTGGCATTCCCCGCGCAAGGGTTTTCATTCGCACTTGAATATGAATCGCCCATGAGTGAACATCATGAACATCATGATTCAGTTCATCTGGAAGAGAAGACAAAAACGAACAGTGAAAAAGTAATGTTCTCTGTATCAGGAGAAAAATATGCACAGATCAAGCACCGTTTACAAGAGAAAACAGTAGGGCTGGACCAGAATATTCGATTATTCATTCGGTGGGTTGGCATTCGATTTTCAATTTTGAGATTCCAATATTCTTCTTTTTTTTTTCCGAACACCTGGCATTCCCCGCGCAAGGGTTTTCATTCGCACTTGAATATGAATCGCCCATGAGTGAACGTCATGAACATCATGATTCATTTCATCTGGAAGAGAAGACAAAAACGAACGCATCACAGATCAGATTTCATTTCTCCAGTGAGGAGAGTGAGTCGAGCTGACTGACAAGAAGAGTGGGGTGAGGTGAGACAGACAAGATGATGGTGGATGATTTAGTTTCTAAATGAAATGCAAAAGCGCCTGTTTGGCAGTATTTTGGATTTTGAAAAGCCTGTTGACTTTTGCAGTTTATCTAAGGTGATTTTGGACTGTTTTTTTAAACATTCGTTTCTTATTTAATTGGTTCCACAGTGTTTGCTGATTTTTACTTTATTTAAACTTTGTGTCATTTATTTGGTTATATATTATAGGCTACATGTTTACTTATTTCCAGTTTTGTATACCTATTTAAACTTTATGCAAGTTATTTGTTATTTTATATTAGGCATAGCCTGCCGTATAGCACAGTGTATTTTTATTCATTTTGTTAATAAATGTTCTATGTTTTATATATAGGCTAAAATGAGTTTGACGTTGTATTTTGTTGTTGCATTCAAGCAATATACACCGAATTGCCGCTAATTCGAAAGTGAAAGTAAAATGCGCACGGAGCTTTTAAGCTATTTAAAAGCGAAGGAAAAGAGGGAACGCCCCCGCGGTGATACCGGTATTATCGGTGTTGTCGCACGTCGATTAACCGGTGGGAAAATATCCTCACCGTCACAACCCTAATCTCAATATAATAAAAATGCCAACAGACAGACAGACACACAGAGATTCCTGCCTTTATTAGAGAGAAGAATATGTTCAGCCCCCTCCCTCCGAAGCTTCGAATATTCGGTGTTGATTACTACTGAAGCTTCAAAGCTCAAAAAATGGTATTCAGACCAGCCCTAGAAAATAGTACAAAACAGTTGTAAATAAATATGTCTGTGGATTTTGATGTGAGAGAACAGGGGTGGACTTTTTCACTGGAGGAAGCATTATTACAAATTATGGACACATATTTTTACCAGAAGTGACAGTTTAAAGTTAAAATGTCTTAATGATGCTAGGGGGCAGGGTATTGAGTTCGATACTTTTTGACTAGAAGAGGTGTGGCGCAGATCGATCATTGTTTGACATCCGCGAGAGTGATTCGAAAGCGCACGGAGCAGTCTGCTCTCTTTAGCTCTCGTGGTACTGTAATACACCGATCGGTCTGCACAGTCGGTCCGCGTCAAGTCGAACACACCTACTAGTTTACACCGGTTACACTCAGAGATGTGGCGCACACGTGAGGCTGTAGTGCGAATGCGTCCCTTGCCCCTTAGATGTAAGGTAAAAAAGTATCGTTCAGGAACCTGTATCGAAGTCAAGGTATCGGTATTGAACATTTTTGAACAATACCCAGCCCTAAATGATGCATTTGTTTCTTACAATCATGCAGCTTTTTGCTTCACAAGATGTTAAGTGATGGACTGGAGTGGTGTGGATTACTGTGATGTTTTTATCAGCTGTTTGGACTCTCATTCTGACGGCACCCATTCAGAATCCATTGGTGATGAGGAAGTGATGTAATGCTACATATCTCCAAATCTGAGACGATGACAACAAACTCATCTGCATCTTGGATAGCCTGAGGGTGTCTTTTTTTTTTTTAGTACATTTTCATTTTTGGGTAAACTATTCCTTCAAGCCATTTTACACAACCAGCAACCTGCGGAGATAAAATGACCAGAACTCATTCATTTGCAACCACTGCAAACAGGATGTGGGCGTATCCAGCGACTTGACAAAGTTAAGAAAATAATTCTTATGCAAATGTTGAACGACTTTAGTCAGCGACTACCAGTGGAAATGAAGACAGTGGTGCTCATGAGATCAGTCTCCTGTCAGCTACGTAATACTTGCAGTGAGTAATATCCAAATTTTAAATGACTTGTACTGGGTCTGACCATGTACAGAGACAATATCCAAAATATAATAATTTCTAATGAATTAGTTTGTTGCATGTATAAAAATTAATAGTCAAGTTAATACAGCATTTGCACTCTTCTAGTAGTTGTTACTATTTTGCACAGTATCCAGATGAATCATTTAAGAGGTCGCTTTATAGCTGCAAATCTCGGTCAGTGTGAACACCTCTTTTTTAGAAGTGCATTTCAGATTCAGGGATTCAGATCAATCTGTGTACATCATGTCAGCAAATTCTTAGGCTAAATAATCGTTCAAACAGTAGAGAATGAAGCTAGCAATGCCAAGGTCATGGGTTCGATTCCCAGGGAATGCAATGCAAGCTGCTAAGTTTGTATAAAAGCTCTTGACAAATGCACAAATGTAAATTTTAAATTTGTGCTACAACAGGCAGCTCCCTAAAAAAATTTACCAAGATAACCATAATTGCTACCAATACCAACAGGGGATGTTATTTTATTTAAACTAACTTGATATTACCCAATGTCATAATTATATATTACAGTATGCGATTACGCATTTATTAATGATTATGATTTATGTTTTGCAGTAACCGGTGTTTTGCTGTAAACTATGGTAACCAAGGGAAACAAGTTACCGGTAAAGGGCCATGAAAAGGATATCCTGCAAAACCCATCTCTACTTAGCAAGCGAAAATTGCCTTTAAAGGATGAGGAACACATTTCTGGCATGTTTTACTATTATTAATAATACTATTCTAATGGGAGAAGATGCTGAAGAAGCTCAAAGTCAAACCTCAGAGACGATAAACTAGCTCAAATAGCAGGTATAATAGCGAGTAGCAAAATACAACAGAAATTAGTTTTGTTTATCATTTCCAAACTTAATAAGCTGTAAGATAAAGGCAGTTAAACGTCTCTTTATGAGATATTCAGCGATTTAACGTAACCTCAGAAACACAAGTCTTCAGTGGTGATTGATTTCTTGCATAACAATAGCTCAACAGTGTATGAAATATAATATTCTTACCTTACAGCAGGATAAGAGTTCATCAAACGCGATAATTATCGATATTCACCTCAAAACTGTATTTAGTGTGATGACAGAGGACCGTTGGCCAAGCAGCCGCGAATGACTTTTTGTTTTGTTTTTTTGCCGCTTTTCACACTCTCGCCACGCGCTACAAAAGACACTCGCGCTGCGCAGGGACGCTCCTATTGGCTGGTTGAGAAGCACCGCTACAAGACAGCGGCATTTGATTGGTTGCCCTCGCAGTACGTCACTGGAAATATGTTTCGAGCGTCCAATAGTTACGCAGACCTTTGCAATACTCTATCCTCAAACTATGCAGTGCGTTTTGCGAATGTATTTGTGTTAAAGCTTTTTAGAACGAGCTATGTACGAGTTATCTCTATGTCAGAATATGTATAAACACTATTATTTTCTATTATTTATCATAGCTCAATTATAATATTTTTATTAAACTTGGCAATTTTTTATACACAAAAGCAAAATTGTAGGTAAGAAACCGCTGCTATTTTCTGGTAGACTGATAATCCTATATTTTGTCTTTGATGCGCATAAAAAGTAAAAATCTTTGAAAAGTAAAAAAAAAAAAAATACTTTCATTATTTAACCTTGTACATTTTTTCACCTCTGGCTTTGGTTTTGGTTATTTATTTTATAATTATTTTTATGATACGTCTCATTTCGTATTGTGCTGGTTGTTCTACACATACATTGAACATTGTTGATAACATTTCATGTACTATAAGTCGTTTGGCACAACTTAAAAAAAAATGCAGTGCGTTAAAGAGGAATAAATTAAATGGTGATTTAAAATTCTTCTTATTATTAATAATAATAACAATAATAATGCTCCTTTTGCTTTCTGTTAATGCCATCAAAGTGCTCTGTATTTATCTGTTCATGTTAAATGTATGTAAAAGTTATTAAGAGACTTTATGAGTTTAGTGCACTATGATTTTATTCTGGTACAGACGTTAATAAGTGCAAAGGGAATAAGACCTTAGAGAAAGCCATAAACAGCCATTTAGGCTATCGATTGCCAGTCTGCAGCAACTCTCTTCAAATATATTTAAGCAATTTCAGTAAATATTCATGTTCCTACACATCAGAAAATCACATGCTAGGAAAATTCTAAACCAATTAAATTCAACACCCTTTCAGATTGGCAGAGCAGTTCAATTGTAAATGCGACTTTAAACAGTGCAGATCTTTGCAGTTTGATGATCTGAAGTCTTTCAGGATGAGTGGGGCTTTGACTTGGCCAGTGACCTCTGCACCCATGAGCTCCTCCACTATAGTCAAGGCAAACTCAAAGCTGGTTCCTGGCCCTCTGCTGGTGATCACGTTACCATCCTTCTGAACTCGAGCCTCTGAATATTTATAATGATCTGGGGGAAGAATACAAAATAATTCATATCACCACAGTCGATAAGTGCTATCTTTATTTTTTGTTCTCCTGCAGCAAAACGAAACACAAAAGCACCCCAGTTTAAGAAGAACACTACATTGTAACTTTCGGTCTGCAGACAACAGCTATGTAATTATGTAATTAATTAAGAAATCCCCAATGACCTACAATATTTCTAGACATATGCAGTATGCACATATCCATTGTGTTTAATGAAATGAAAAGTAAAATCCGCCATAATTTTTGTTTTTATTATTTCATTAGTTGATCATAGCACAAAAACATATTTACATGTAAAGTGCACAATATGCATTAAGCGGTACGCTAGAAGTCCTTTCAAACACTGTTACTTGACCTTATCATTCGCCAACAGTTGTCACTAGCTGTGTTTACATGGACCCTAATAATCCGTTAGTAAAAAAAGTCACATGTAACCATGTCAATTGGAATGAGTTGTCCGAGGACTTGCTGCATTATCGTTGGCAGTGCCCTCGCTGTGCACTGAGCTCATGTGAACATTAATGAAAAGAGAGCTCTTAACTATTGATTGTGCACCCTGGCAGACGCCCAGTGCGGTCTAGTGATTACACTTTCTCTGGCAGGACGTTTGCTGACCGATCTGAACCTTGCATCTACTGTTACGGGTCTTGCTCGTGAAAAGCTCAGTCCACAAAAGGAAATAAAAGAAAGGCAGGTATAAAAGACCTTTATGCCCTAATCACAGTCTTTTGTTCCAGAACATTTAACAACAACTTTCTCATAAAATGAATTCTCATTCCTGTGTTCATGTATTTTCTATTGAAACAGGAAGTTAAAAATTACTGTGTTCAAATTAATTAAAAAAACGATATAAATATACAGTAAATAAATAAATAACTGTATTATTATTATTATTACCACTAGCCTTTGGCTAAGTCATAACCCTTCAAAACTATGGTTCTCTTCATCTAATGACTAGTCATTGTCAGGTGACATTCGTAAAAGCAGACATCCCTATTCTAGAGACCATTACTGGACAAAAAAAAATTACAATATTTTAAATTAGTTTTGATTTTTATATTTTCTGTTTTAATGTTTTTTTTTAGTTTTAGCAATTTTGTTGAGTGTTTTTGTCATTTTTATTATTATAATTTTTTTTAAATGTGCATATGGTTAGTTTTTATTAATTTTTATTTCAGTTTTAGTTAAGTTAAACTAAATGTAAATGAGAAAGAATGCCATGGCAACTAGCTGAAATAAAGTAAGTTTAAGGTTTTTTTTTAGAGGTCTCAGAGAAATTCACTCAAATATAATGTCCACTACAGAGGCAAAAACTCCATAGCTGGGTCTCAGGAGGATATATTGTAAAAAAAAAATTTAAATAAAGCTATATGATAATTATTCAACCCCTATTCAACATGTTTTTAAGTCACTTAAGTCACCAGCACAGAGTCTGGCAGCAGTATGTGAGCATATACCGCTGCACATGAGCAGTCTCCATTCAACAGACACTGATCACTGCATTCTCTTTACAAAGACAACTGCAGAAATTCAGATAATGCATAATATGTCCCGCGCACACAGACATGCACACAGCAGCCCTGCATTTGCACAAGTCTGTGTACAACTCAATGTAAAGTGCTGAACAGACCCCCGCTCTGCGCATGACATCCACCGGGATCACCGTCTCCATCTCCTCCATGCCCTTCGCCAGAATCACCAGAGCTCTTTTCCCAGCCATGAGTGTGAGTCTGAGGGCCTGTAAATGTCTGCAACGCAATGCAAACCCACACACATACCACACACTTATTATAAAAGACGTTTCCGGGTCTGGTTACTTGTGGGGAACTACCAAGCAAAATAATAGTCTTCTTTTCCTTCTTGCATTCATTTATTATATTCATATGTGTTATCCTGTACGTTGTATTATTGTTAAAACTGAATCATGCGTATTAAAACACAAATATATATATTTTTTAATTTTACAATAAAAAAATAATTATTACAGAAAATACTAGACTGTATCAATATCTGAGGTGTAAAAATCAAGAAGTCAAAATCATGAAGATGAAAGAAAATGTGGACCCTTTAACCCGAATATACGCTTAAATGCATAGTGTCCACTACAGATTTATTTTCAGTTATGGAAATTAAACTAGAACAAATACATTAATAATACCGGAATATGTCGTATTATTTTTATCTGTCTGGGTCTGCTTGAAAAAAATAGAGAGAGAGAGAGAGAGAGAGAGGTAAACATTCCAGAGGTGTATATATGGTTACAAATTATGTAATAGTACATACTTTCACTTATGTGAGGTTATTTATTTATTTATCTATGTTTAGATCAAAAGTAAAGTTGGTTTCAATACGGGGCAGGTATTTGGGGGAAATGCAGATATTCGGCCACTAGAGGACGCTATAGACCATTGAATTGCAGTTTCAGGCATAGTGTTTCTAACTTGTTGATGGGCCTAAAACAGCATTCAGTGTCATCATCTTTATCTCTGCATTTATCCATCCAAAGTGCACACACACAGCAGTGAACACACACACACAGTGAACACACACCCGGAGCAGTCTCATTCATTGAAACCATATAAACATTAGCCTACTCGCACTATTGTATCGGCTACATTCACTTAGATAAATGCTGTTATGCAAATGCAATGCAAATAAATGTTGTTTTCACTGAGTAAAATACAAAACAAAATGTATAAAATGATTATTTACATACAAAAATACATTTGACTGTATCAGCAAGAGAAAGCTACGTAGATTAAGTGGGAAAAACTAATAAAACTTAAAGACACCCTGTGGTGAAAATCAAGCTTTTAACTCTGTTTACATGTCTGTCTGGTGTTTTAATATACTTAAAGACAAACCATGTGACAATTTATCAGTCAACACCATTTCTGAGCATTTTCTCCTTAAAACTGCAGTTTACCAAAGCCAGTTCCAAAAACGTTGCTTGATACCGCCCCTGTTTTCTACGTCATAAATATTTAACCAATGGAGCGGGGCTTTTCATTCTTTTAGGTTTCTATTTACAACATGTTTTTACAGCCAATCACAGACATGTCTGTTGATTTCATGAACGCAATGGCCAATCAGAAGTGTTTAAATTAGTCAGAATCCACTCACCACTTAAAGCGCTCAATCTGCACTCTCGCGAATGTTCTCATTAGAACAAAGTGTAGACAGGATGTAAATAAGAGATGAATTGTGCACTGTAGAGCTTCACTGATCATAACAGAACTTTGTGAGATCACGATGAACTATGAGTGACAGCTTTTTAGTGATTATAAGGGGAGCAGTGTTTGCACACTTTCTAGGCTGTAATCCATTAAGAATTTGAATAAATTCACTCACAGATTCACTCTCTGATAACCATTTACCCAGTATTGCCACTTGCCATTGTGTTGCATTCAAAGGCGTAGAATTTAGTAGGGACGCTATAGGGACATGTCCTCGCCAATATCCAGTGACTACTAAATTGTCCCTAGCAATCAAGTGCGTAAGATTTGGTTTGAATTACTGCTTTCAAATCGATAAAGTGTGATTAATCACATCCAAAATAAAAGTTGATGTTTACATAATTTATGTGTTTGTACTGTGTATATGTATATAGATATGTAAATACACACATACATGTACATATTTAAGAAATATATGTAATATATATTTATATATAATATAAATTCTACATAAAAATAAATTTATATATATATATATTGTTGAAGTGTGATTATGCTTCCATTTTATATATATATATATATATATATATATATATATATATATATATATATATATATATATATAATGTTATGTCCCCGTTATGTCCCCACCGATGTCAAAATCAAACCTACACCCTTGGTAGAATTTACTACTTAAGTTAACTGAGTGACAGTGGAGCAGGTCCGAGCTGATGAGATTTAGAGGAGGCGGGGACTATTCATATATTCATATATTCATAGATCCGTACACTAAATGAGGTATTTACATTCAAGCCATATTAAAGCAGCACTATGTAACTTTTTCTGTGTTCAAAATTTGCAAAATGTATATAATGAGCGAGTACATCATGAATTCATCTTCCAAACCGCGTTTTTGTCTTATTCCGAATCACTCCGGTACACTTATAATACTTAAGTACTTATATTCGGACTATTGTAGCCTGGTCGGGTCGTCACCGCGGCGGAGTAACACATACCTGCGTGAATCGCCATAGACATAAACTTAGAGAAGTAGATCCAGTTGGAATGTTCTTCCGCGGGATCTGTGCAGTTCTGTTTATTAACAGCTAGAGCGCCAAAAGTTACATAGTGCTGCTTTAAGGCATAAAGAAATCATTTTCATGGGGGAAAAAACATTTAAATATGTGATTCTGAATATCAAAGATAAGTTTTAAAGGATAAAATTAGCCACTGCAGGCAGACTTTAACAGTCAGCAATGGTTCCCGCCGCTGCCGAAATGTACGGCTCGGAAACTCAGGTATGAGTGTCCCAGTTGTGACTTGATAAACCTTATGTCCAATTTCCAATCAGGAACATTGTAATTACGATAATTCCACACAGGAAGGCAGCATAAGTCCAAGAACATGTATCAAGAAAGTATAGATAAAGAAAAAAGATTCCATGTTGACTTTTAGTTTAAAGCCATGCATCTATTTAAACAACTCTGCTTTTCTCTTCTCTGATTTACAACCCAACAAGCATGACATTAGCCTGCAAAGACTCAACTTTTAAATAGACGTCAGCAACATCAGTCATGGAGCGAAAAGGAAACGTGAGCAGATTAAAACTTGTGCATACTGTCTGTTTCAAGTTAACCGCGTGTGGACTTAAGGAAGAAGTCGAGGAAGCTCCACTTTCAAAATGGTGCATCACTGGCACTCTTGGAGGCCTCATGTCCCACAAACACAGAGCTTAAGAGCAGTAATGCAAAGCAGATTTACAGCAGAAAATCTGCACAGAACAACTGTAAAGCAAGGGGCGCGAACAAGTGTACAGAGCCTTTCATCTGGTTTTGGCAGCAAACGCGGCTCTTCTTTCTCTTGACTTCTTCCTGACTCTGTCACTCTTTATTTCCTTCTGATTTAGTGATCTGATATGTTCATACTCATCTGCGATGTGACAATCTGACTAATGCAGGAGCCTACAGTAAGTGCAATTGAACTACTTTCATTATTATCTACCACCCTCCACCGCATGCAACCGCGCGCCGCTGCCAGACCCTCTGCAAACTGCAGCTTTATCTAACACTGCACAGAGGTTCCCTCTCAAACCTGAGGGGCTTCTGGAATGTTACCACTGGGGATTCTTTAATACTGAGGATTTTTTCTTCCTTTAAAGAAGGCAACCAACAGATGCAGGAAGTCAGGGAATTCCACAAATTCTTGTTTGTCACTGAGTAATCCTGTTACCAGCCCTGTGAATATGAAACGGTGTAAACATGAAAAATAAATAATTCCTTTTTTTGCTTTTTTTTTATTTATTATTTTTTTCTGGAGGGGTGAGCATGTACAAGAAGGCCTTGCTTCTTTGGGTTACAGACCTGTTGTGACATCTGCATCTGCATCATGTTTGCTTTACAAGGACAGATTTAAATGCTGTACTGTATCTCAATCCTGCTAAATTGCTGCCATAATTCTAAATGCATTCTAAATGGTTGCTAGGGTGGTTACTTAGTGGCCCAGGTCAAATTAGCCCAATCTCAAGTTTTAGTATTTAAGGAATTATTCATGTTCGCAACATAAATGCTGTAAGATGAATTATAATAGGCCTGTTTGTTTAATATTGTAAGTTGATTTATTTATTCATTCATTCATTATATGTTTATTTTTTATTTATTTATTTATGTTTGTAATAGTAATGCTTCAATTACCAAATACGTCTAACTATATTATCCATATTTACGTTATAGCTAATAGATGACTGTGTGGTAACTGGTGATTTAATTTGCTGTACAGTGATCATAATAGACAATCCAGATGGTGTCAGTCCAAAAACACCTGTAGTTCTTCACAATGCCATTGTGACATTTATTGCCATTTACAGCCATATATTGTCAAGAGCTCTGAGTCCATTTTCTTATATTGACAGCTAGCGGTTTAAATGGGTACTGCAGTCTAAAATCTAAATATTGGAGAGCGTTGTTTGTCCCGGCCCCTCCTCCTCATCAGACTGGATGCTCACGCGGGTTGCCACATTGAGGACACACAACAAGAACAAGTGCAATTGATAATGCAAAGCAACGAGCCTTATACTGTAAGCTGATTTATCCGTGTTTTAATATGCCACCGATCACAGATCTTTTTAGATGGATGCTGAGGCTTTTTAGGTCAGGTAGAATGTGCGATCTCTGACCCTGTTCGTTTGCTGGCTTCCATGGCTGTTTTCCACCAACTGGCAACACAGGGTGTCGAAATACTATTGAGTAAATTGCCAGTGGGTGGAATCACGCAGATCAAAACAAAAACAGACATTCCGACACGTAACCCACATTCTAAAGTAGAATAACTGGCTGTAGCATTGTTTTTCTGACAAACAAGTATGTGAACTTAGCATGTTTCCTAAATATCTGCTAAATATTATTGTATTTTTATGCTTTAGTACAGTCAAAAAAAAAAAAAAGCACCTTTAAACAAGGGTGTAGAATTTAGTAGAGATGCTATGACATGTCTCTACCAATATCCAGCAACTACTAAATTGTCCCTAGCAATAATTTTGATCAAACAATTAAATCTCTGTTGTCTGCCGTTATGTCCCCACCAATGCCAAAATCAAACCTACAGCTCAAAGAAAGTGCATTGCATTAAATTTGTATCGCA